CGTTTGTAATGCTCCCACTCTTGTGAAAATCCTCAGAGACTATTTTTCTTCTTTTTTTTTTTTTCTCAGAGACTCTTAATTGCTTTAAAGAACTTATTCCATGACTCACTGCAAAGACTGCACCACTTGGCTCTCTTGAGAATGTAGCTGCCCTACACATTTTCCTTATGTTTTTGTAGTGCTTTTTATACCTTTGGCGGCATAAGAAATTTTTGTCCATGAAAGATGAAGAGAGTCTTTTATGTAGATGTTTTGGTGTCTCATGTTGGCAAGACCTGATAGGACTTGGGGCTGGATGGGTGCTGACAGAGAAGGAACTTAGGCAATTTCTTTGTAGGAAACGATTTTGTTTTTCTATCTGGCAATGATTGCTTATCTGCTTGGAAGATCAGTTTGCATTTATCAATCAGTGATGGTTGTTTTGGCTGGTGTTTGTTGCTTAGTGGTGGAATGCTTTCCTAGCATGTATAAGACCTTGGGTTTGATCACCAGCACCACAAAAAGCAAAAACAAAAGGCAGTTTGGGAACAGTTTTGTATTTTGAATTTCTGTTGTTAGGCAGATCTGCATTTAAGATTGTTAAGACTCCCTGCGAGGTTGACTCCTTTGTTATTGTGTTATGTACCTCTCTATCCATGGTTCTGCAGTGTATTTTGTCTGGTATTAATATAGTCAATCCATTTTTCTCATATGGTCACAAGATAAATCTTTTATCCTTTTATCCTTAATCTCTATATGTCTTTATATGTAAAGTGTTTCTTTTAAATAGTATATAGTTGGGTCATTTAAAAAAATCCAGTGTGGTATTCTATTTTTAAATTGGTTTTATATTTAGTGTTTCTGTTAAATGGTTGTATTAAAGCCTACTGTTTTGCTTGGTTTATATTTGTTCCATCAGTTCTTTGTTTTTTCCTCTTTCTTCTGCCTCTTTATATTGAATATTTTTAGGATTTACTTTATTACTATGGTTGTATACTTTACCTTAAAGTGTTTTTAGTGGTTGTCCTAGGGTTTATAACATACATCTTTACCCTCAGTCTACCTTCAAATTCCAATATTATTTTGCTTTACATGTAATGTAAAAACTTTTAAATAGTACACTTCAAATTCAACTCCCCACCCCATGCTTTTGCATTGCTGAGACAGCTCAGGGCCTTGCACATGCCAGACTAGTTCTCTTACACCCTCAGCCTTCTGCAGTTCTTTGTGTAACAGTTGTCAAGCATTTTACTTCATGCATGCTATCAAACACATAACTCATTGCTACAATTCTAGTTTGTGCTATCAATTATATTTTAGATCATTTAAAAATAAGAAAAATGGATTTTATGTTTAACCTTATATAAGCCATTTTCATCATTGTATTTCTTTTTATACATGCAAGTTTTTGTCTGGTATCATATTCCTTCTGCTAAAGAATTTCTTTTTAATATTTCTTATAGTTGAAGACTTGTAGTAAAGTCTTGCTGATAATCCTCTCAGGTTTTTATCTGAAAAAACCTTTATTTTAAAAATATTTTTTAACTAGTTTTTTTCTTTTAGCTTTTCAGAAATACTACTGAATTGTCTTCTGGCTTGTATAATTTCTGATGAGAAGTCAGCTGTAATTCTCAGCTTTATTCTTTGTGTCATTTGTTTCCACCCTTGCCCCAACCCAGCCAACAGAATCTTCAAGATTTTTTGTTTGTTTTTGGTTTTCAAAAGTTTGAGAATAGTATCTCTTAAGTTTTTTGTTTGTTTACCCTTTTCTATTTATCCTATTTGGTATTTTCTGAGTATGTTAGACCTATGGCTTAGTCTTTCATTAATTTTTGAGAGTTTTTGGACATTATTCAAATATTTCTTCTGTCATATTCTTTCTTTTCCTCCTGAGATTTCAGTTATATGTATAAGAGACTACTTGATATTGTCCCAGTTTTTCAAACTCCTGTTTTATTCACTTATCCTCTTTTGTTTTAGTTCACCATGTTCTGTTATAACAGAATATCTGAGATTGGGCAATTTATAAAGAATAAAGATTTTTTCTTACAGTTCTAGAAACTAGGAAGTCCAAGGTCAAGGGGCCTGCATCTGGTGAGGACCTTCTTGCTGCCTCATCCCAGGGAGAAGATGGAAGGACAAAAGAGTGCATGCCTCAAGCACTTTTATAATCAGCAGTAGTCCATTCATGAGTGTGAAGCTCTCAGAACATAAACACTTCCCATTACATCATAGCTTCCAACACTGTCCTAACACTGTTGCACTGAGTATCACATTTCTAATGTGTGCTTTTGGGGGAACATATTCAACACATAACACTCTGTATTTCAGGTTGAGTGATTTCTACCTGTCTTAGTTACTTTTGTTACTAAGACTAAATACCCAACACCCAAAGTTAAAGGAGAAAAGGTTTATTTGGCTTACAGTTCATAGAAGTTTCAGTCCATAGTTAGCTGGCTCTAAGGCAGAGTGGTGTGACAGAGGGGCATCAGAGAAGATAAACAGTCCATGGCAAAGCAGGTCAGGCAGAAGGCAGCAAGCAATGAGCAAGTGATGAGCAACCTTTCTGTCCCTTATATTTTGTCCAGGCTACCTGCCATTAGAGCAGGTAGCACTTACATCCTGCGTGAGGGATCCTTAGTCCTGCCCAGAACTATGTCAAACCAATCTGTGGACTAATTTAGTAATTATATATCCTTGATCCCAGCATCACACGCTCAACCCTAGCATCACACACTCTAAAACCAATCACCTCTGAAAAGTCCCACCTATAACCACATGAGACTTTGAGGGGATATCTAGAAACAAACCATAACACTACCTGTATTTAAGTTCAATGTTTCTTTCATCAGGTGTGCTATATCTATTATTGATATAGGGGAAGAAATGTAAATTCCAAACCTACTACATACCTGAAACACGAGTTCGTGTTCTCTAAAATTAAAGAATGAATTCTAGGAACAATGGAGGTTAAGAGTAGGGAAAATTTATCAGGAGAAAGAAAGCTTCTGCCTAAGAGAGACAGAAGAGGGACTGGAAAGTGGGTTGCCCATTTACCCCACTTTTCAAAGATGTTTTATACAGCAAAGCCATGTGGTGAGCCAGGTACAAAGAGGGACAAAACTAAGACCCAGTGGAAATTTACAAGGTGGACATGAGGTAGGACAAAAACCATGACCAACCAATAAGATTACAAGTACAGTCACCCAGGTAATACTGATTAAATGGGGGTCACATGGGGGGACAAGTCATGTAGCAAGCATACAAGGATTTTCAGTAAGGGTGGGGGTCGGGGATATTTCCTGGAGAGGCTGGGTTAAGACCTTGGACCCCCACCCAGGTGATTGATATCTATTTAGGATATCAGTTACTGCTATTCATTCTACTGGGTGTGGTAGTTTAATCTTCTTTTATAATTTTGGCCTTCAGTGACTGTATCTCCACTGTCCTCCATGTTGGCTCCTCATGGGCTGGTCCTGTCTAACTGCCTACAAGATATCTAATTAACTTACCTCTCTGCAACATTATGAGTCTGCAGAGGGCATTCGTCTCTGTTACTGGGATTTTAAATTTCAACATTTCCACCTAATTCTTCACTTTATCTAATTCTGATAAAAATTTCTGTTTATATTCATCTTGTTTTCCGTTTCCATTAAAGTCTTCAACATATTAATCATATTTATTTTAATTTTCTTCTAATAGGCTTAATATCTGGGTCATATCTGAGTCTGGTTCTCTTGATTACATTGTCTCTTGATTGTTTTTTCCCTTGCTTTTTTGTGTATCTCATAATTGTTTATATCTTGTTTGGAATGGTAGACCCTGAGATAAGTAGTATTTATGCGTGGAAGTGAGTTACTGTACTTCTGTTTTTGGTAGGTCTTTAGTGTGGGTATTGGGTTAATGTGGTAAGAAATTGAATTTTTTTTTCCTGTTGCTACATCTACTCTCTGTTCATCTCAGATTTCAGAATTTTCTGTTGTTACTTTGTATTGACAGTGGGCATTGAATTGCCAGAGGGTTTTTCTCTATGCTTCTGTTCTGACTTTAGCATTAGGCTTGCCCCTGCATGTTAGAGATTTCTGCCTCTAGCTCTTCTCTCTCAGGCAGCACTAGACTGTTGTTATTTGCTACTTGGTTATTTCCTAGCCTGGTGTGAGGAGAGGATACTCCTTTGTACTGATTCAACCTCAATTGCAGGCAAATATGTCCCTGAGTTTCAGGGATGATGCCTTCTTGATAATCCTGTCTCTCCTCAATGTAGAAAATCTTGAATAGTCTGGGGCCAATAGATTTCAGGCTCCCCTCCAAAGGCAAAGGAGTTTTTCCATTCCCTAGCAAGAGTTTGTCTCAACTGATGCTCTTTAGGTGACTGAGTTTGCTGCCTTTTCCAGTGGCTGAAGCTGTTAGTCTGTGGAAGAGATGGGCAAAAGACTCCAGGTGAAGCTTTGAGTCCCTTTTCAGTGATGTCCCTTCCATCCTCAGACTTCTACCGTAAAGGGGCTTTGTCTAGTCTTACAGATGCCCTCAGTCCTTCTGGTGGGCATTTGGTGAACTCTCTGGAGAAGAGCCTGCATGTGGGCACAGTTTCCTTTGTTTTGTCTCCCTCAGGACTTTTGTGTTCTCATAGGCCACACTAGGTTTTCAGTAATCCATTACATTTCTAGATGGATTCTTCTTGCTGGCTTGTGTGGGTCAGTCCTGGAGTCTGTCCCAGGTAAAGAAATATTATATTCCCTCTTCACTTGGAATAGCCTGTCTTTCTTTCAAAGGCTGATTGGTTGTCCTGTGACTTCATCCTTCTGGTGGGCTGTATTCTAGAAAGGCTAAGATTTTATAAATTATACAGCTTTTCTTTGTTTTAAGTTTAGGAGCAACACTACAGCTTTCTACATCTCTGGGAATGTTTTTACTTGACTTTTGAAGGGCTGAAATTTGAGTTTTGCTGTTTCATTTGGGTGCAGTTAAAATACTGATTCTCAGATGAACTAGCATTAAAAGCATGACTTATGTCCTTGCAGAAACTTGGGGACTGTGGCAGCCATGGAGCCAGTGTAGCGCCACATGTGGGGATGGTGTCAGAGAGCGTCGCCGAGTGTGTCTCACTTCCTTCCCCTCCAGACCTGGCTGTCCTGGACCGTCCTCGGAGACCTCCTCATGTTCCCTGGAGGAGTGTACTGGTAGGTATTCTCTGGGAATCTCTCCTCAGAGCCTCCATCAAAAGAATTATTGAATACAGACTTACCTGAGAATTACCACTCTGAGTTCAGGAGTAGCTTCATTAATGCTCTGTGGTTGCTGTTGGTTGTTCCAATCCTATATATTCTTCACTGTGTCTAAAACAGAGTAGCTTGGAGACCAACTTGACACTGAGGTGATGGCCATTAACACTGTGGAAAAGAGGAAAATTATAATGAAATATGTCTAAATTAAAGATTCAGACATGTTAAATAATTTTCACAATACAGCAATGGAGTAGGGAAGAATTATTTTTTCATCCTAAGAGTTTTTGTTGTTGTTATTTCTACCTGTTCTTCTTCCCCACAAAATAATGGACAAATATTTTTTCTTAACTTCCCCCCGCTCCTCGTCATCCCAGAGAAGCTCAATGAGACCATATAGACCATTAATTGTCAAAATAGGGCAAGGCGCCCTGTCTTTCCCCTTTCATTTATCCATTACTACCTATCCAGTAGGAGGAGGTAGGGATATTTCTTTTTGGTATCACATGGGGACTGGCCTTTCCTGCATTTTCTAAGTGTCTTGAAGGCATGCACCCATAGACACTCAATAACTACGTGATATCAGTGGCCTATAGATGCAGTGCTTACATGACTTAAGTTGGCTTCTCTTGTGGAACTGAACCCTATTCATTTGCCACAGTTATGGTTGTGAATACTCCTTACTCTTCCTACACACCATCCCATCTCTTAATATGTAACTCCTGGTTGGTTGGCTGGCCCTTGCCATGGCCTTGACCTTAGATAATCTGAAGTTTCTGTCAGTTCCTACCTTCTCTCAAATTCCAGATTGAAAGGCCATCCTAGTTCCTTGTCCCTTTGGGATCTGGAGGAGTTAGGTGCTCATCTTTGTTTGGATCTCAAAGTATCTTTCAGCCAAAACCTCAGACACCTGGCAGCATTGCATCCAGTATTCCTGCCTGTGGTCTTAAAAAATCCTTCTTGCTATTTTGTCTTTCCAACCAATACCATAGGCCTTATTCCCTTCATTCCAGAATCTTAGGAACTTTATTCTGTCTTCTGTCTTCTTATTGAAACCTCGGACTCAGGCTCTTCCCCCAGTCCTCCTCAGTCAGCCTCTTTTCTTTCACATATCCTGGGCTCCACTCTGAATCCATTCTTTCATCACTTATACTTCATACTGCTTTCTCTGCAAATCCTCTTCACTTTTCACAACTCCTTCTGTGTGGATAACTTCCTTCAAATACACCTTTCAATTCTGGGATGGCATGTTGTATTAAGATAGCCCATCCAGAGTTCTATAATACACAAGTGAATTTAAAATCAGTTGTCACTGGCTTCTACTGTGCTTTTAGAATAAAACACTCTCAGCCATCAATTGACCATTTACATGCCAACATTTTAAATACACTATCACATTTAAGCCTCACACTAATTTTACAATGTAGCTATTATGCTGGGTTCATATCTTGAGCATTTTTGTAAGTGCCTTGCACATAAGAAATAGGTATAGCTGGCCTTCTATACCTGCAGGTTCTGTATTTGTATATTTAAACAACCATGAATAGAAAATACTCAGAAAAAAGGTGTGTCTGTGGTGAATGTGTACTTTTTTTCCTATCATTCTGTAAACAGTAGAGTATAACATCTAGTTACATAGCATTTACATTGTACTAGGTAATTTAACCTAGAAATGAATTCAAGTATCTGGCAGGATGTGTGTAGGTACTGTGCAAATACTATATCATTTTATAGAAGGAACTCGACTATAGCAATCCTGGAACCAAACCCCAGGAGATACCAGGGGTTACAAGGGCTATCTGTGTACTGTTGTCTCCATATCACAGACAGAAGTCTGGGACAGGGAGAGGCAAATGGCCTGGCCAAGGTCATGAAGTGAGGAATTAGGTCCACTGTGATGGTGAAACTTTAAGAGACCAAGTGCCCTAGCTGCAACCCATGTATTTATTGCAAAGTGCCAACACTACAGCTAAACCTGAATACTGGGATTTTAGTTTAGAAAAACAACTATTACCTGATGCTTGGCTGCTGGGGCGACTTCACTTGTTGGCAGGGAGGCCTCTGCATGCCATAGCTTTGCCACCACTGAATTAGGGGAACTGGAGCTGACTTTGTTCTAAGCTGCTTGTTTTGAGTACTTTGCCTTTATATAAAGACTGATCTGGCTTTCTAGGAGAGGCATCAGCAACTGCAATTGGCAATCATTTTATTTATTTATTTATTTTTTTATTAACGTGAGGCCCCGCTTTCATGGTCTGTATTCGTACTGAAAATCAAGATCAAGCGAACTTTTGCCCTTCTGCTCCCTGGGAGTTTTCTGTCCTCCCTGAGCTCGCCTTAGGACACCTGAGTTACCGTTTGACAGGTGTACCGCCCCAGTCAAACTCCCCACCTGGCACTGT